TATATCAAATTTGTCACCACCCATCTTGTTAGAAAACTACTCTGGGTGGCTTACAGAAAAGTTAAATATTAATTAAAAATACAATATAACAATTAGTCCTAAATAAATAATAAATATCTTCCAAGAAGTGATGGTAGCTAGAAATTATTAGGCTTGGGGAGCATCATCAGTGTGCCAGCCACCCCCAGAGTTGGTTAAAGCTCTTCTTGCCCCATGCAAGCTGGCAGAACCAGGTCTTCAGTTCTTTCTGGAAAGCCAGGAGGGTAGGGCCCACTGCATCTTTGGAGGGAGAATATTCTAGAGGGCGGGGGAAACGGCAGAGAAGGCTCTCCTCCTGGGCCCCGCTAGCCGACATTGTCTCACTGACAGGGTGTGTAACATGCTTTCTCTGCCTGACTGGGTGGGACAGGTTGATGTGATGGGGGTGAGACAATTCCTCAGGTAACCTGGACCCATCCCATGTAGGGTTTTAAAGGTAATAACCAACACCTTGAATTAGACTCTGAAGAAACTGGCACCCAATGCAGCTCCCACAGCAAAGGTGTTATACGTGCCATCCTTGGGGCGCCCAAGTTTGTGTGGCCACATTTTGAACCAGCTGTAGCTTCCAGATACTCTTCAAGAGTAGCCCCATGTAGAGTGCATTGCAATAGTCTAAATGAGAGATGACCAGGGTGTGAGTGACTGACCGGAGGGCCTCCTGATCCAGGAAAGGGCATAACAGGAAGACCCCCAGATTACGCACCAGGTCTGTCTGGGGCAGTGCAACCTGTCCAGAACCAAAGATGGTAAATCCTCAGATGCAGAAGGGCCTCTAATCCACAGCATTTTACCAGGGTTCAGCTGAAGCCTGTTGCACCCCATCCAGACCCCCACAGCCTCCAGGCACCACAAATGGGTGGTCATGGCATAAAAATCTAACATCACCAACATAAAAATCTAACATCTATCCCTTTTTAAACATAATTTGAGGGGCACAATAAACACAAAGTAATATTTCTGATAAATTAATTTCAATTTATATCATGCTTATTTCACATTCTTTTTACACTTGGACCCATTCGTTCATAAGTACCTGGGCTGCAGTTTGAAAGTTGATCTGCTTTTTCTTTCAGAAGAGATGTTGTTGCACTGCCAAGATCTTGCCTCTTCCATTCGGTTGCTCAAAGCAGAACATTTTAATACCGGTTTAGAGTTGGTTCGCAGGATCCAAGAACGGCTCCTGTCAATTCTGCATCATGCTACTCAGGTAACAACTGCCTAGGCAGGATATAAATGGTAGTTAATTTATTTTTGCCAGTTCAGTATTGCAGCAAAAGAAATGGGCTAATATAATTAGATCCAGATTCTTAATGGTTCCATTTTCTTTAGGAGGGCGATCTCTGTTGCTATATCCTTTTGATCTTTATTTTGTTGCAGGATTTCAGAGTGGGATTCCAGACCCGACAAAGCTCTGAACAGAGGGAAATTAAGTTATCCAATGTACCTAATGCCACTTCTGCTTATAAAGAGTAAGTTTTTTGGGGGGGATGATGTGAACAATAAAGCCATGATGGACAGATTTCATGTTTCTGGTGAGAAGCAGTCTGGCTAAGGGTAGCCTAATGCAAGCATATGAGCAACTATTTAAATAGATGGTATTTTTCGGTGGTCTTCATGTTAGAGTACTTTCTGTCAACCAGGAGATGATTTCCTTCTCCTGCATATAGAATAGCTTTATATTTTCCCCAATGAGCCTGGTAGATTGGAATGTCAGGTATTGTAAATCGATGATCTGATGCAGTCTTTGGAATAAATGAGGTGCTCTTGTGAGCCACAAAAGAAGCCATGTTTTTGCTGTCCCTTCGGTAATGTAATGAATTAATGTCATTTCTCCAGTTCTTGATGGAGTCAATGCAACAGTTACCTCATGCATCTCTTAAGAATAACATTGGTAAAAACAAATGTGGAGTTGAATTCTGTTATATTTTAGAAAATCTGATATACTGATTGTGGATGTTAGCATTTAAAGCGGAGGCAGGCAGTCTGCATTTATGAACTATGTTGCTTTTGAATAGCTGAAGGCAGTATCTATCTATCTATCTATCTATCTATCTATCTATCTATCTATCTATCTATCTATCTACCTTACCCCCGCCCATCCCCCCCCAATGGGGGCCTCGGGGCGGCTTACAACAGAATAAAACAAATAAATACATAGTTAAAATTTATAAAAAAAACACACACAGAGTAAAAGGAAGAGGAAAGATCCAGGAGGCCGACGGAAGCAACACCGGGCCTCTAGGGGGCTAGCCAACCCCATATCTGATGACCTCCCTCCCCACCCCAGGCCAGAT